TATATATATATATATATATTGATTGATTGATTGATTGATTGATTGATTGAGATGAGGAGACCAGATCTTCATTCACTATTCAAGATATGGGATACCATGGATTTATATAAAGGCAATATGATATTTTCTGTTTTATTATCTGTTCCTTTCCTAATTATTCCCAACATTGTTAGCTTTTTTGACGGCCCCTGCACATCCCCATAACTCCAAGATCTCTTTCTTTTTAATATGGGTTAGTTGATCAAAGTAAATCCTAATCTCTACTAGTTAGTGGTTTTGTGTAGAATTACTCTACAGTAAGACACTAGCAGATAACATGTTAAATACTTTTCCTGTCTTCCTGATTTAAAAATACCCACTCCTTTTATCACAGTGAAGACAAGGCCTGACGGGGAAGGGATTTTCATTTATTTAAGAAGCTCCCTATTCAGGAATTTGAATTAAATAAATGCAAATAAACAAACCATAAAGATTGAAGAGTTTTAGGCCCTTATTTATGTTTAATCACATGAGCAAGCTCTTCCTTATTCACTGTGATTAAAGGTAAGTACATTCTTAAGTGCTATTGTGAATGAGGCCTAATGCATTGTTAAAATTTTCTGCTTATTTGTACCAATTTAGCATTTTGGAGACAATATCTCTTTGTGAAAGACACAACAAATATGTTTTTTCAGTTAAAGGTGTTCTGAAAGGGAAAAATATTGTGTGTGAATTATAGAACTTTCAGATTAGTGAAGTACAAATTAGTAATCTTTATAAGAGTGAGGTTTTTTTTAAAGATATTTAGAATCTCATTTCTGCAGCTGTGTAGAGAGTTTGCTGCTAATGTGAAACACATCTTGTTTTCATTCTTTCTAGTCGACTGATAATGAACACCCACAGGGATCTGGAGTCTTTTAAGAGGCTGAAGTACAGAAAAAGCAGACAGTCGGGAAAGTTTTTTGCTCATGCCCTGAAGGGAGCAACAAATACTGTGTACACAGTAAAAAAATGGAAGGAGGTCTAGGACTGTGCATCAAATCAGAGCCAAATAATAGCATTGCTAGATTTAATGGTTTCAATGGCCAAAGGCTTTGTTCTGTTCTGGTTTTGCTTTTAATCTCTTACATTTGGTATTTTAGAACTTGTTCTCATTTACACTAAGGCCCCTTTATATCACTGTAGCCATGTTAAGGCTCCTTTTCACTGTGAGACTGGAGCAACGAGGCTGTACCATAAATGAGCATAAGGCTCAGTGTCTTGAACCAAATTCTAGCTTATTACTTGCTGATTGCAGTCAAGGAATAATATACACTCATCTGCCTCCCCATAAGGCACATATGCAGACCTCAAAAAACAGTTGTTGTGTGCTTAAATTCTGGTTGTGAACTCTTGGTCTTTCCTTTCTGGCCTTGTCCAGATTAGAATTGAAAGGTGAAACAGTAAGCCATTCTAACTGCCATGTTTGAAAAGTCTAGTGGAGACCAGGCAGCATGTACATGCTAAACTATGCAACGGAAACCCTAGTATCTCTACTGAGACTTCACCTCAATCAATGTAGCATATGTTTAAGGTGCCAGACTTTTCAAAATACCTTTCATCCTTATCTAGGCAAAGCCTCCACAGTTCCACTATGGAGTCCTTGCAGAGCAGGCTTTCTTCTTGTTTTCAGGGGAAACAAGAATTGAGGTGCTATTTTTTAGTCCTATGACTCTACAACAGCCTGGATTTATGCTGTATTTTTCTGGTATAAATTATGCATAACTTTGGCCCTTCAAATTAAAAGTAAAACTGTTTGCCAGCTGTTTTAAATCTATAAGAGGGATGACAAACCTGAATGGTGATATATATTTCTCTTCATTCTGTACTATAAAATAAACCCAATACTAGTTGAACACATTTGTTATAATTGAGATGAGTCTTCACCCATTTCAATACTTCATTATCTCTCTAATATAGTGCACCATTATTTAAAAAACCAACAACCCTGAATTATATAATGCAATGTTTTTACTAATGAAGCAACATAAAATTGTCAATAGAATGACAAACAAAAAGCTGGCAAATAAAATAACTTTCAAAAATATCAGGCAAATAAAACAATATGTATATATAACACATAAAACATTTTTCAAAGAAAATAAAGGCAGGAAGACTTGAGATTGGTGCTTCTCTATGAGGAAGAAACAATCCTTTCTTAAAAACTCACCCACTTAACATGAGCTGGTGAATTAATAACCTTGTTACATAATGTCCCCTCATACTCAGTGATGGGAACATGTAGATTATAAGAGCTATTGGATTGCTGTGTGAGTTTTCACGGATGGCCAGAGTGTTTGATCAGAGTGTTCAGGCAAGGACTATTTTGTTGACATTCTTTCTCACTCCTTTCAAATGAATGACATAATTGCACAAAGACTGAGTCATCTGCCATCAGCTTCTAAGTCTGACCCCTCCATGACCTGTGGAACATCCAGTGGCAGCCAAGGCAGGTATCTGTCTGGAATAGAAAGGTAAAAGGGTCCTGTAGAATGATAGGCAAGTTAATGATGCTGGGAGAATTCACCTCAATACTCTTCCCTTGTTTGCCACTTCACTACAAGAGCCAGATGGAATCTATCTCTCAGATCTATCGCTCCATATTGCCTGCGTTACTCATGGTGTCTCTTTGGCTTCCTCCATACCATCCTCCTCTAGTATTGATGCAAATGGACAGCAGATGCCTGAAATGCCAGAAGAGAGACACCATCTGAGGCAGAGTTGGAAAGGTGAGGGGAAAAGATGCCTCATTCTTTGGGACCTGAAAAAAACAAACACATGTAATTCTATGCCTCTTTTCCCCTCAGAGGACAACTTAACTACATGAGAAAGTTGCACCAGTTGAGCTAAAGTTTTTATTTTAAAACGGGTTAGTTAAATTGATGCAAACCACATATGGAGACTAATCATGTGAAAGGTTAACCGGCTAACCAGTAAGGATCACCCCAAACTGGTAATACTTACCGGTTCTGGTTAACCAGTAGGGGCTGGAGCAGTTCCCCGCCCCCTCTGCTCCCTGGGGGCCTACCGTAGGCAGGGACTGCCCTGGCTGGCCAGCTGAAGCAAACTTTGTCCATGGTGGGCCTGACCCGTCACCTCAGTGGCAGGTTACATGATGGTTCCCCCGAGACACAGACTTTGGTTTAAGGGCATGCAACATTTTTTAACCTTTATGTTGAAATGTTCCCAATTAATATCAGGTTGTTAAAAATAAGAATGCAATAAAACCAAACTTAGTTTTCAGGTTTGAGCCTCTAGGTTGGCTATAGAAAATGTGTTTAGTAGAGGACCACAAGGTGAAGCTTGGAACGATACAATCAAATTCTATTTAAAAGTAAAATAAGCAAAAAGGCATGACTTGCCCTTGGTGAATCCATATTGAATGTTCCTGACCACCTTCTCCAATTGCTTCAAAATGGATGAGGAATCCCCTTCATGATTTTTCAGGAGACTGAGGTGAGGCTGACTAGTTTGTAGTTCCCCAGATTCTCCTCCTGCCCTTTCATAATGGTGGGCACTACATTTACCTTTTTCAAATCATCTAAGACTTCCTCTGATTACTACAAATTTTCAAAGACAATGGCCAATGGCTGTGCCACACAGCCAACTCCCACAGCACCCTTGGATGCATTGCATCCACCCCATGGACATGTGTATGTCCAGCTTTTCTAAATAGTCCTTAATCTTTTCATTCACCATTGAGGGCTGCTCATCTCCTCCCCATCTGCTGTCTGGGAGCTGACCTTGTCTGTGAAGACTGAGGCAAAAAAAAGCACTTTAGTTTTTTCCCACATTATCTGTCATTAGGTTGCTTCCCCTGTTCAGTAAAGGTCCCACACGTTTCCCTGCTCACTTTTTTGTTGCTAACATACCTGTAGAAACCCTTATAAGATCATAAGAATGTCCGTACTGGGTCAGACCAAAGGTCCATCTAGCCCAGTAGCCTGTCTGCCAACAGTGGCCAGCACCAAGTGCCCCGGAGGGGGTGGACCGAAGACAATGATGAAGCGATTTGTCTCGTGCCATCCCTCTCCAGCCTCTGACAAACAGAGGCCAGGGACACCATTTCTATCCCCTGGCTAATAGCCTTTTATGAACCTAACCTCCATGAAATTATCTACCTTCTCTTTAAACTCTGTTATCGTCCTAGCCTTCACAGCCTCCTCTGGCAAGGAGTTCCACAGGTTGACTATGCGCTGTGTGAAGAAGAACTTGTATTAGTTTAAAACTTGCTACCCATTAATTTCATTTGGTGTCCTCTAGTTCTTCTATTATGGGAACTAATAAATAACTTTTCTTTATTCATCCTCTCCACACCACTCATGATTTTATAGACCTCTATCATATCCCCCCTCAGTCTCCTCTTTTCTAAACTGAAAAGTCCCAGTCGCTTTAGCCTCTCTTCATATGGGACCCGTTCCAAACCCCTAATCATTTTAGTTGCCCTTCTTGTTATCCTTCACATCCTTTGCTAGCTGCATCTCCAATTGTGCTTGGGCCTTCCTGATTACACCCTTGCACACTCGAGCAATATTTTTATACTCCTCCCTATCATGTGTCCAAGTTTCCACTTCTTATAAGCTTTCTTTTTGTGTTTAAGCTCACTGAAGATTTCTCTGTTAAGCCAAGCTGCTCGCTTGTCATATTTGCTTTTCTTACTGAGTATCAGGATGGTTTGCTCCTGTGCCCTCAATAAGGCTTCTTCAAAATACAGCCAGCTCTCTTGGACTTCTTTCCTTCTCATATTACCCTGCCAGGTAATATGGTTCCCTGAGAGAGTCAAAATCTGCTTTTCTGAAGTCCAGGGTCCGTATTCTGCTGTTCTTTCTTCCTTTTGTCAGGATCCTGAACTTGACCCATCTCATGGTCATTGCTGTTCAGGCTGCCCTCTTCTACTTCCCCTACCAATCCCTTGTTGGGTTCCTCCAGCACTTGCACCAAGAATTTGCCCCCAACACTGTCCAGAAACTTACTGGATTGTCTGTGCACAGCAGAATAGCTATCCTAGCAGGCAGGGGCAGATGACTGTTTTGTGGGGCCCCGGGCAGCATAACTCCATGGGGCCCCCCCTTTCCCTCGGCGCATGCGCCGTGACGCCATGCGCATGCGCGGTAGCGCTACAGTGCATGCGCAGGGCTTTTTTAAGCGCGGGGCCCGGGGCGGCTGCCCCGTTCGCCTTGCCATATATACGCCCCTGCTAGCAGGTCTCCGGGGAATTGAAGTCGTCCATGAGAACTAGGGCCTGTGATCTGGAAACGTCTGTTGTCCGAAAAAAATCATGTCTATCTCATCCTCCTGGTCTATAGCAGATGCCCACCACGATATCACCCTTGATACTCTCACCTTTAAATTTAACTCAGAAACTCTCAACAGGCTTTTCTCCAGTTTCATACTGGAGCTCTGAGCAGTCATACTGCTGTTGTACATACAGTGCAATTCTTCCACCTCCCCCGCCCCCCCATTGCAGGTTTCATGCTGGCTCCCCCGGAGACAGATTTTCATTTAAGGGCATGCAATCTCTTTTAAACTTTATAATGAAACCCTTCCTGAACAGCTTATACCCATCCATCACAGTGATCCAATCACGTGAGTTACCCTACCACGTCTCTGTTATTCCATTTTCACTTCTGCTGTGTGCTGATGGCCCAAAATCTAACTTACCCTTATATCTTAACCTGAACCATCCAGTAGAGTATCAGCTTGATTTAAATTAATTTAAACCAATTCCTAGCACTACCTAAAAACCATTTTTAAACAGTTGCAACTTCCTTGTGTGTACAAAGCCTTAGTCAGTATTTACTTAGGCTTTTTGCCATAGTAAAAATTTGAGTAAGGAGTTGGCTCTCTATTTGGGAGTTTTAATCCTTTTATGGCTTCTTTATATAAAAAAATCACTTTGAGTTCTACAGGTGAAAATTTTATCATAAAATACCAGTGACCAGGTACAAAATAATTGAGCTTGTCATATGCAAAAGTTGCATCACTTTCATTTAAGTCAGTTTAAAAACCAATTTAGTTAATACTATGTAAACCTTAATGGGAACACTCATCATGATTTAGACATAGCTAATACTTGCACCAGTTAACACAGACTTAAAACTGATTTAACCTGAGAAAAACCTCTTTATTTTGGTTTAAGATAGCTAATTTGGATACAGCTTAAACCTATTCTGACTTAAGCTAAACTGAAATAAACCTTGTTTAAACCAACACTAAATTACACTACAGGGACTATGGCAGACCACTTCCCTCAACAAAGTTAATTACATGGCCTTTGAGGACAACCCCCACTGACACAGCTGTATCTACAATTTTGCATATGGATAAGTCCTCACAGTTGCAAACTAAACTTCTATAAGCCAGGTTTAAACCAATACTGGAGCAGCCCCACATACAGTTGCACTAGTTAAAATCATATATTTAAAATCTACAGTTAAATTGGTGCAACTGTGTAGCTCTGGCCTCAGTCATTATAAATTATAGCTGCCCTCTCTTAGTCAACACTACCATCCTGTGGCCATTTCTTTAAAGTTACAGCAACAAAAAAAAATCCCCTTTCTCATTAGCATTAAAGACATTTTCCCTTGTCATACAATGTGTGGCTCTATGAATTTTAAGTTTATTTTCTCCTAATGGTTAAACCTGAGGACAAGGCATCAGGATTCCCACGTGGTATTCCCAGGTAGGGGCATGAGTGTGATTTAGTAGTTAAAGCAGGAAAAAGATCAGAAACTCAGTTGTAAACTCATTCCCCAGCTCTGCCACTGATTCACTGGATAACCCTGAACAGTTCACTTATCTCTGTGTGATTGAGATTCCCCATCTTTAAAATTGAGATAATATTTATCCATTTCAGATGGGGAGTGTGAGGGCTTCTCAGATGGAAAGAGCAATAAAAGTGTTAAGTATTATTACATTAAACACATGGAAAATCTTTACTCAGAAAAATTCACAGAGAAGCCCAGGACGCAGCAATGAAAGGGATTAACTAATGGACATTTTATTTTGCAGTAGAGAAGAAAAAGTCGACAAAATGTTTAATGCCTGGATATATAGATACAAACACATGCCTATGGTATTTGTAACCATGTCCCAAAACATCCCCAATGCATATCCATTTGTGGTTTATAGCACAGCAAAATTAGTCTGGCAACCCTCAAGGGAAGTTGTTGACTTATCCCAGTTTTATTGATGTGTTAATTGAGGGAGAGAGGTGAAGTGGTTTGCCCAACAAGGTCCCTGAACAAGTTAGATTCTGTCTGAACTGCAACTATCTCCAAGTCAGGAAGATAGTTACAGGACAGTAGATCCCTAATTTGGCAGCGATGACATTGAAATCTGTTGTGGAGACAGAGCCATTCCTGGACTAAAGCAGAAATCCAATGGAAGTCTACTGCCTCACTCAGTCCTGTGCATTAGTCATAGTGAAAGCCTCTTCTGGAAATCTCAGACAGGGAGCTGTTATCACTGGAATGTGTGCCTGAGTCATGAACATCCCACATATGTTCATGGGGCTGGTAGTACTGAGGTTATTGACATTAAACATTTTTTACATATGAGACTCAGCATCAGGACTACTTTCAGATTTGTGGCACAGCTAGGACCTCATCAAAAAAGATGGGAAACAAAAATGTTACCTGAGCATGAAGTCCAAGAGGAGCTGAGGCCTTTTCATTTTAAAAGT